CACCTCACTCACCTCACTCACCTCACTCACCTCACTCACTCACTCACTCACCTCACTCACTCACTCACTCACCTCACTCACTCAACTCGCTCAACTCACTCAACTCACTCACCCACTCACCCACCCACCCACCCACTCACTCACTCTCTCCCTATACCGTCAGGTACAAAAGGCGGAGAGCAGTCGACGCCACACCTGTCTGTCCCTGGCCATGTCCTCCAATCTTGGCACATCCTGGCACTGGTTGATTACCTCACCCCTTATTGTGCTTCTGTAGCTTCCAGCTCCGAATTGCAAAGTTCTAAATGACATTTTTGGCCGGTTTGAGTTACTAAGACCATGAAATAAAAATAAAAATGTTTTAACTGCTTTAGTAAAGTCGTAAGATTGTTCGGAATCGTTGTCAAGATGTTCAAAGAATTACATTCGAAAAAGCTTAACCATGTTGTGAAACTCAATGTCTTTGACATCAAGGGGCTCTCATGGTCTAGAGGTTACTGGGTTCGCCTCTCCTTCTGTAGGTCCCGGATTCGAAACCTGACAGCAACGAAAATTTTTCTTTTCCAAATTTTCTCTTTTTACCTCCTTTCCTGTTCTGTAACCATATTCTGTTGCCTGCTTTCGTCACCACTGTCTGCCTCTTCCCATTTTCCTTCTTTCTATTTTTTTGTTACCAACTTGTGTTGCAAGTGGCGTAAAAATCGTACTATAAGAACTGGAGACAGCTACTTTTCTCCTATAGATGTGGCCATCTGAGACAATTGGTTGCTTTTAAGCACAAGGGGGCTATCCCGAAAAATGCTGTTTTTTAAAGAAAATCGAAGGTAAAGTTTTTGCCCCTTGTTCAGTTTCTTTAAAAGACAAGGAGAGTTTTCTCTATAACCACACAAATACACACACCGTTGAAACCATACTTCTCCTATAGGCAGAGAGGACGATACCCACTTTTGGTGTAGGTCAAGATTTCTGGAAACCCCCGAAATCTGGGTTAGCCCGCTTGTCCTTAAAAACGACCACTATGTACCGTAGTTTTCCTTGACCGGCGTGCACCCATCCTGAAGTACATGGGAGACCACCCCAGCAGACGTAGCCGCGTGGCCAACGAGTTCACCGACCAGATCTTTGGCAGCCCCATCAATAATGTGAGTGCTTCCCCTGTGCTGTCGCGACGTCACTCGTTGGATGGCGGGTGCTCTGGTGTAGTTTACTCCTTCTTTCCTATCAAACACCTTTTGTCCTTATCTCTCCTTCTTCTTTTTTGTGTTTGTTACTCTCTTGTAACGCCTCTAATCTTTGGCTCTTATATTGCCTTATTGTGTTGCAAGTGCCGTAAAACTCCTACAAAAACTAAACCCTTGGATGTCACTTACCAGTACCGCTCACTTATTCTGCCCTTTGCTGACAAAACGCCCTTTTTTTTTCTTTTTTGGAGCCCATTAAAAAAAATTTGCTATGTCGAGAACCTGATCAGTTGTGTGAAAAAAATTAAAGTGAAACTGTTGTTAGTTTTAAAATAAATTAGAATTCAAGTTTCGGAACAATGCCTTTTTAAAAATAGTTACGCTGACTAAAAGCCTCTTTATCTAGCAACTGTTGTGAAAATTTAAAAAGGCATTTTTTCAGATTACGGCAATATAAATGTCGCTAATTCATGTCAGGCGTTTATATTATGTCATTTATTCTTGTCACTTCCAGGTGTGTTGTACTAGATAAGTTGTAGTTCATTTCAAAGTGGTGTTGTGGGTTGTTGGCAGGTGCTCTGGTGTGGCTTGCTCCTTCTTTCCTATCAAGGATCTGTCTGTCTATCTAAACGACTGGGGGGATGGTTGGCGGGTGCTCTGGTGTGGTTTGCTCTTTCTTTCATATGAAACATCTATCATCCTTGTCTCCCCTTCTTCTTTTTTATGTTAGTTACTCTCTTGTAACACGTCTAATCTTCTGGCGCTCATATAACCTCTTGCAGTTGCGAGCGCCGTAAAACCTCTACTAAAACAAACAAAATGACTGGGCAAAGCATTTCAGACCTCGGGGCCATGACATACAAATGCCCTTTCACCCATTGTTTTGAGTTTCCGAGATGGTAAAAAAATTTTTTTTTTTGACGACACTTTTTCTCTCACTTTGTCCTCAGGAAATCTTGCGAGATGAGGTGTATTGTCAGATCATGAAGCAACTCACCGATAACAGACACGAGTAAGTCTCCCGAACATTTGATGTTAACTGAAGTATTTGTGATTGATCTCTGTATCTCTGTTATATATGTGAAGCGTGCTGACAAAATGAGTTACTTCTCGGTTTCAAGCCTTATGGAAATAGATACATCACGCTTATAGGTGAAGTTTTTACAATTTATAAGTATGAAATAATAAAAGGCATGTTATACTTAAAGAATATGGCATCAATAGAAAATCTACAAATTTCACCCAAGTGTAGATTTTTGGCCAATATATCTCCATTTGTGGATTGCGGAAGTAACTCAGTTTGTCAGCATGCTTCACATATGATCTGTGGACAGCGTACTCTCTGTACATTTGTTCTTTGTGCCTGGTCTCAAAAGTTCACAAAATTTTTTTTTTCAAAGCAGTTACCATCACTGTTACTGTGTATTACTTTATTTATTACATGTTCTACATTTGTGTTACTTTATTTATGCTTTGTTGTCTTTGAAAGCTGCAGTGGTATTAAATTTATTTATGACATTCCGTTGTTTCGCTGTTACCATTTTTTCTTTCCCAATTATAAAAAAAAAAAAGATTTCTTGTATTTGTTGGTTACTTTATTTAAAACATTTTGTAATTTTTGTTGAAAGCTGTAATGATTCACGTTGTCTGTTGAAAGCTGTAACCATTTCCTATGGTGTGTCAAAAGCTGTAACAATTTCCCATGGTCTGTGGAAATCAGTAACAATTTCCAATGGCATGTTGAAAGCTGTAATTCACCATTTCCCGTGGTATGTTGACTTTCCCGTGGTATTTTGAAAGCTGTAATTCACCATTTCCCTTGGTATTTTGAAAGCTGTAATTCACCATTTCTGTTGGTATTTTGAAAGCTGTAATTCACCATTTCCCTTGATATTTTGAAAGCTGTAATTCACCATTTCCCATGGTATTTTGAAAGCTGTAATGCACCATTTCCCATGGTATTTTGAAAGCTGTAATTCACCATTTTCCATGGTATTTTGAAAGCTGTAATTCACCATTTCCCATGGTCCATCCTGTGCCCCAGAGTGAGCCTGAAGCACGGCTGGGAGCTGATGTGGCTGGCCACGGGCTGTTTCCCGCCCAGCACCAACCTGCTGAAGGAGCTGATGGCCTTCCTGCGCTCTCGCTCACGCAGCAACAACCTGGCCGATGACTGCCTCAACCGGCTGCAGAAGTGCCTCAGGTCAGTGGGGGGTGTGTCCGTCTGTCCATCTGTCGTGTTGTGAGTTTTTGTTTGTTGGTGTTTGTTTTTGTTTGTTGGTGTTGGAGGTGGTGGTAGTGGTGGTAGTGGTGGTTGTTGTTATCCTGTTGCTGTTGTTGTTGTTGCTGTATTGTGGCTGTTTTTTTTGTTGATATCCTGTTGTTGTTATTGTGACTGTTTTTGTTGTTGATGTCCTGTTGTTGTTGTTGTTGTTGTTGTTGTTGCTGTGGCTGTTATTGTTGATGACTAACCTCGACACCACAAGTGTGCGTGGTTGGCGGGTGCTTTGGTGTAGCCTGCTCCTTCCGTCCTGTGATACAACTATCGTCCTGACCTCTCCTCCTTCTTTTTTGTATTTGTTACTCTCTTGTAACACCTTTAACTCTTATCCTGCGTCTGTGCCCAGATGTGTATCTTATCAGCAACCGATTACGTCGGACGTGCCGGGCAGGCCGCCGGGTCACTCAGTGTGTACTGTTGGTGTATAGCGCACGCGCCGGGTAATGTGTGTTTTTGCTATGAATACCGCGGGAGTGTGGTAACCGATGATGAAAATAACGCTCCATCTTTCATAGCTTTCTATTTATAAAGTGTTACAAACACATGAATAACCCCCTCTCACAAGCTGATAAGACATTACGAGTAGTTACGCTCATTCGAATAACCTTTCTGGACACTCTCGTTGTTATGAATGACCTGAGGTTCGAAAGGGGATAATTTAGGTCAATTTCCAAATGTTTTACACTCAA